ATAAGCACAGTTACCGAGCCAGCTATAAGCGTGTGTACGATAAGCACACGAAATTGTATTCAGGTTTTTGTACATTTTAACGGCACATTGTTCTTATTTCCTGATTTCTCTTTGGATGTCGACTTCTGCGAGACTATAGCTCCTTAGCATTACATTTAAGGGCTAGATGACATTGCCAAGGTCAGAAAGAGCTTTGCGGATACAGAGCTCAAAACACTGCATTTCATTCCTGAAGCAGCGTAAAGAGATAATCGTAGTAGGCCGTAGAACCACATGCTTACAGACACGTGACCTTAAAAGAACACATTCCGATGATTATAGATTGGATGATTATCGGCGGGAATTTAATAACCCATTTTACTTCTTTGAACATCACTGAGGAAAATCATATTTGGGGATGGGGGGGGGGGGTCGGGGGGTCTTGTTATTAGGTTGAATTAGAAAATAAGAAGTGCGCATGACAGGAACCGCGCGCCACAGGGTTTTTTTTTTATTCCTCTGCTGTGAACAACATCGCACTTGCTCACAGCTTTACATTTTTATATTCCTGATTTGAGGGATAACTTTAAAGTTTTTTTTTTTTTTTTTTGGTGAAAAATAAAATACGAAATTTCCTGCATTACTATACTCTCACACGTCGCGTATAGAGGTAAAAGTGGCACGCATACTGCTCATCGGGTAACTGATTTGGTGCCTGATTAGGCACCAGATGTTACTTGTTAAGTTGTTCGATATAAAGTGTGTCATAACTCTGGTCCTTGAAATTTTCCTCTGTAATTAACAACTTCTAATGTTGTGCTTTAAATAGATGAAGCAGGTGATTTCGACTCCCTCCTAAATGATATTTACCTTGTTTACCATGTCTTACACTAGCAAATGTACAGACTTCACGGAAAAAAATGTCACACATGCGGTCTGACAAGTGTGAAAATTCTGTCAGACTGAAACAAAATCCATAATACTAAAACAGACATCTTTTTTTTTTTTGCCGTCATAAATTACCACAAATATAAATATCTTCATATTTTAAATTTAACATTATTTATAAAGTTAATATATTTTATATGTATTAATTTTTTCTTGTTCTCAGAAATGTCAATTTCTAACCCCTGTGTTACTATGGCAATAGCTGGTCAGTCACCCCCCCCCCCCCCCCCACCGCCAGTTTAATGGAGAACAAGCAGAAAATGAGGTGTTAGGATGTAATCTATATATTATACTAAATAAAAGTCGCTAAAGGGGGTGGTGTCAGCTTTATAAATATCAATCTAAATAACATTCTTTTGGAATATAATTTTCTGTCAAATTTAGCCAGGGTGTATCATATTGGCTGTAAATACAGACTTGACATTTAATATGGAATATTTCAGTTTCGAAGGTATGCCTAGGTAAAAATGCATTCTTTTTTCAAAAAACTCCGATCTCATATAAGATATGTGAATGGAGAAGTGTGTAGTCAGGTGTATCGCTTCCAATTAACTGAATGCCAGGTTTGTTGCGCTGCTGCATTACGTAATATGCAGTGATTTAATTGGGTAGTGCTCCTTTGGGCAGGTCAAAGCTTGGCTTTGGCAAAGCATGGTTATGTCAAAAAAGTATCCATATGTCGGCAACTACTGCATAGAATAATTTGAAATTTTGCATGCAAGTGGTCTGTTTTGCAATGTGTAAAATTAGCTATGCAGTGCACTGCAAATTTGTCAATCTGTGTCAGAATGGCGCGAAAAAGTCAGAGATTGCCAGACAGATGATTGCGCCAAACGAAACGGTCCGCACAGTTTTATAGAGTAATGCTCAGACTGATGTACCTACACAGAGGCCACACCCAATGTATTGAAATCTTACCACCAGGGTACAGGTAATGTGAGTGACTAGCATTGTTGTAAAGCAAATTACTTACACTTTCACTAATTACAGATAGCAATTAAAGCGGAATCAAAAGAGTAAAAAGACAAAGAGTTATTGAGTGTAAGTTAAGTTTCTCCAAGAGTCAACAAGTGTAGAACATGTTTTTAGTGTCAGAAAAAGATGGAAAAGGTCAAAGTCAATAACAGTTAATGTGATTGGTTAATTTCATAACATATTTTAATTTTGATCATCTATTTATCACATGATAACTGAGTTTTGGATAAGATCCAAGTATGAGTAATCCAAATAATATTTTAGATATCTTTAATTGAAAACAAGTCTCTTAGGGATTACCTAATAAGGAAATGTTGCATTGTGACTTGCAACATGAGAAAGGAAAATATTTTGTAATCACGCAAAGACAATGGAAAAGAAAACAAGTAAGTGCGTGATCAGTACGGAGAAATTGAGTATAAATATTTGTGAAGTTGTATGAAGAGAGAGTCGGTGAATAAACGTTCGAAAAGCTCCAAACTGCTGTCGTTATTCCTCACTATAACAGCATGTACATGAATCTTTAGGTGATTTCTTAGGTCAAATGTGAGTGACTTGCATGTATTATGGGGTTTTATGCGTCTTTTATCAAGTCTTCGGTTCTTGTTGACCATTTGATGTTCCCTTTTTAGTCATTTTACATCGTCACACATGTAGTGGTAATGAGCACTATTATACACATCAGTTCTCATTCAAAATTTAGATGAAATGAGGAATATTGCTCTCACTTTTTAGTCCGTTGGTTAAAAAGATGTAATTTCATTTTCATTGGCGGCCATTTTGAATTTTTAAAGCCATACTGTACTCTGAATTAACTCAAGTAATTGCAAATGGTTCTGTTTTCATATTCAATACATCAAAAGTAATGAAGAATTTAATTTGGGATGATAAATCTGCCATATTTCCAGTCTGGACAGCAATATGTAAAAGACGTTTTGTGACAGCCTTCTTGGATTTCAGATTTTACATCTCAATAAAAAAAAATAGCACCTTAAACGAACACTTAAGTCAGAAAGAAGAGGCTCCATGCTACACCGGTACTTCAAATTATCTCTGATATTCCAATTCCTTCATAAGTAAATAAAAATTCAAACTTTAAAAATTATAAAAAATTCTAAAAAAGCAACACATATTGGCCGCCATCTTGGAAATTTTGATTATCATTTAGTATAGTACGGTTCATAGTCTACACGTCTGGAATGATTTTGAATTCCATTTCTTTAATGCATTTGAAAAATATTAAATTTTCTTGGTCTCAGAAATGCCAATTTTAATCACAGACGTTACCATGGCAACAGCTGTAGCACCAAGTTATTTTGTTCATGCAGTTTTGCGGGCATGTTTTATTATGGCCGTCAATGGGAAATTATTTGGTGGTTTTGCCCTGAACATGATGGTGGCCCAGTCATAAAGAGGCTTTGATGACGTTTCCACCTACATACTACTAACACTACTTTTTTGCCAAACACAAACTTTGCCCTGTAATTTATTCAAAATACATTTAAAGGACAATGTTCATGTAAAAATCCATTTCTCGAATTTTGAAGATACAGCACTCAATCTATACACTAGAGGTATGTTTTAATCGATCCCCGCCATTTAAAAATTATAAAAACAATCTATTAGTAGAAAAAAAAGCGTTTTAGTAAACCTCACCTCAATATGCAAAAATGAAGCAACAGATCTGGGTCACGTGGTACTGTGACGACAATCACGATAAAGGTCTATGCGACTCAACTGAGCTGCATGGTGCATACAGACGGAGAAGTTAAGGAAAGTTGTGTTGAACGGAGTTGAGGAATTTTCGTTATGCCTCGGTGTGTTGCCGTGGGATTCACCAAAATTGCAGCTCTCGTTGACAATCTTTCTTTGTCTGTGACGGTCTTCCGTGACTTACTTACTAACTTCGGTGACAATAGTTGCGATGCTCTAGATCATGGTCACCTCAGGTGGTTTAGATCATATCAAGAGCTGGTAGTCTTTCAGATTAACTGTCATCAGTTGGCAAACTTACTGATTGCTGATGCATTTTAAATGCATTGTAGTTGACCAAAAGCTCGTTTACAACAAACCTGTTAATTATGCACCGCTGCAATTCCCAAGCCAGGTAATAACAGGTATGAAACTCGTCTTGGTGGGCTTTCATATTTTTCAATATATCTCATTTATTTCATGGGGTTATTTTATTGGTATTTGTAAATGACGTTAAATATCAATCCCTACATGTTTTTGCGTTACTTCCCCGGTGCAAGTGATTCCTGTGGTCGGGCATCTAGAATTTTAGTCATATATGCAAGCAAACGTGAGTGACTTGCTAATGGCTCACTTGCGGAGCGCGTCTTGATATTTTAGTGCTCTCCACGCCATATTGTATGAATAACCCTATTTGCCTTAGTTTCACAACTGAAACGTATGGTGTTTCCCAACAAGTTCGGACAACAATTTGCCGATCAGATGGATTTGTTATCTTGTCAGGTTTAAAGTTGGCTCATAAACCACAATGAAGCGGCTGTTGGATGACTTCAAAAGGCATTATACACACCAAACGCAACAGTGATATGCGTGACTAACACGTACTGTACCTCCAGCACGAAACACGATTTTTTTTTAAATCAACGACTATTTGTGTTTAATATATTTTTTACAAATGCTACTGGTATGAATGTAAAGAATGAGTGTTTTGCTTTCATACCTTTTTTCCATCCTTTACATATACTAATGGCGTTTGCAGATTGTAATTATAAAGGCTTGATCTGCCGTGCTATAAACATCATCATTGCGTGACACAAGAACTGGAGCCAGTAGTTACCGCCAATTGCTCAATTTGAAGCGCTGATAACGGTGAGAAGCATTATTTTATTTCATTTTGCCAGTGCTTCATTTAAATTACACTCATGTTGTAGCTCAGAGTACAGGTAAAGATAGAGGTATTTTGTTTTGTTAGCATGCTTCGTCACCATGATTTGATTTTTGATGACAATAGTCGACAGCATTTTTGACAACCATGAGATGTATATGACACAATTGTTAAGTTTCACTGTTGCTTGACGAAAGAACAAGACCCCGTCGTCGTTTTGCTGTTTCAGATAATGGCTGGTTGCATTGTTGCAATATTGATTGCAATCAGTCTAACGAATCTTACCATCAAAGAATCGCATGCAGTGTGCTGCCGGGAAGGACTCTCAAAAGTATTTTGTCGAGATTGTACACAGGTAAGATGTATTCATACCATTCAAAGTAATCTAAATGTGCACATTGGCACATTATTTCTTTTAAACCCCGCACAGTTCACATTTTACCTGCTAATATGAAATCGAAAGAAATATTTACTAGCTACCTTGTTTCACCATAATGGCAATCTAGGCGGTGACCAATGAAGGGATAATTTTCACTTCTGTGAATATATAATAATAATAAAATTAATAATAATAATAATAATGTTTATTTATAGTCTAAAATCTAACGTATGTTCTATAGACTTTACAGAATTTATAAAATTTACGATTAAAAGGGGAAAATTACTAATGGTCATAAGATTAAGGATCTACAATTTTCTCTTTTCTGTTGATGGGTAAATTATTCCATTCTCTAGGTGCTGCAATTTTGAAAACTTTGTTTTTTTCTTTAAAACATTAAAATCAAAACCGAGGACAAGCAATGTAACAATAGTTTGTCTTTTTCACAAGACAGACACCATAGACTTATGTGAATATTTCAACCTGCGTGTACTGGATGGACCTGCTTGACGTCTGTAACTCTCCTGAAATGTAAAGCAATCTACTGCTTTTTTGAGTTCATGTGTTTTATCAACACTCTACATATTTACGCGGGGGATGGATCTTGTTTCAGAGGCAAAGTCTCTACTGTGGGAAAGGAAGCTGCAATATATTCGGCTGTGCTTGCAAGGGTGGGTGTAAACGAGACTGTGATGGCATACTTTCCGATGTCAAGTGGTTGTAAGTTCAATTGTCTTTATTATATCTCCTCCGTCTCGTGACCTATAAGAATGCATTAAAGAAATAACTTGATAGGCACAATATATAAGATGATTGATATTTGGCCAGTTGAGACCGCGATAATAAAGAACAAACCCTATTGAGACATTTTACGCTATTTACTGATTGACCGCGAAATAAAAATGTTAATCAACATGCTTTGATAAGAGAACTACAATATAAGATGACCAAGTAGATATAGCATCACCAAAATATTATGGTATCAGTTACAGAAGCAGATCTAGAGATATTCTCTGACAGTCTTCCAAATGATCTTTGTTGGTCCATCCTGTAATTTTGACCCTCTTCCGACAAAAAAAATTTAGATACCCATCAATTTAAATTTGAAAATCTGACCGTCTTCCTGAAGACCCAGAATCCGCCACTACTTTTCAATGTATCAGCCTATCCACATAATGGAAAGAAAAGACTAATCCCTTATTATAATTTCAGTAAAACTAGTGCCGCTTATACTAGATGCCGTTGTCGCAACAAGAGATCCATAACAGACGAAATAAAAGATGGATATGTCGCTAGGGCTGTCTCTTTCGATGTCACTGATACAAACGGGTAAGAAATGTTACCCCCTGAATCAGAGTAATCAAAGTTATAATGCCTGGTCTACTTATAATGTGACTAATGAGTATAAAATCGCTGTACCATGGAGTTGTATTGTTAATCTTTTTGTGAAATTTGATGTTAATAAAATGATACCAGGAGCATATCAGTCCACAGTTATTTGTCTCCCCCAAAGTATTGGTTCTGTAGGGGTGACACTTCTATTCCCCAGTGTGTGTAGCTACACGTTAAAATTCAGTTGCTTCAGACAATGTATATCTAACTTTCAATTTGGAATTACGCTTGCAGGGTTAAAAAGTAAGTTTGGGGGTGGGTATTTAATTGGACCTATCAATTTTATATATAATTTATCAAAATAATTGAAGAAACTTGGATTAAATATGGCATGTAAGAAAAGTATTTAGAAACCAGGTAAATTTCAACTAAATTGTTAATCTTGTTAATCTCGCCCAATTCTTTTTATGAAGATGAATATTCAATCCAATTATAGTTTCATGACATTTTGTAATGGTCCTTTGCTCGTTTTTCAGAGAATAAACTTTCTTGGAGTCCAGAATTGTCAAGCGACAAGCAATATGCACATGAAAAGAAGCTGTGAGGATCATGCTTTATTCCAATAATATTATTAATATCAGAAAAATATAATTATCATCAATAGAAGTCGAATATTCAGCTAGTAACTCCCATATATATTACGTTTTAAATTATCGGAAATTTGCCAATTAATAAACTCCGGATTTTGGTGATGTCTGTGTACGTTTTGTATGCGGTTTCTGATTCCGCGAACCTGAGAGGCGTTTGGGGTAGATCATTTTAGGGCTTTGTAATAATGTCATTAAATGTTATTTTTCTAAACCTTCATGCGGGAAAGCGATTTCCAAACTACCAGTATGTTTTTGGGTTGTGCAGCTTGCAAACAAAGCATCAATGGCTTGATTAGACTTGAGTTTTTCATTCATACAAACGAGGCTGTTAAAATCAGCCCGTATGTTTTAAGCGTAAACATTCGGTTTTTCTCAGCAAACTTTTCCCCCAGCAAATGTAATTAAGTCTTGCGACACATTGGTAACAGGTACGTCTATATAATAATAGGTAAAATGGTAATTCTACATCTTTTATACATGTATAGTACAAATTATACGTGAACATTTACATCTTAACACGTGTACGTGCAAACAAATGTTTTTACCCGAACACGACATATTTTCAACTGGACCAAATTTAAACCGCACATTTCTATCTAAAGACACTGTGTTAAATTTAGATAATCGCTGCTTACATGTACCTTGTTCCTTTACTGGTTGCAGCCTGTGTAACGGCTTTTGTCATTGAAGGATCGCAAGCTGTGTTACATGTATGACGAAATAGTCTCGATAGCAATTTGTTATGACTGCTCCAGGATAAGACATATAACATATAACATACAAATGTATTTTGAAATGAGCAAACTAAATTTATTTTGTAAGTGAAGATTGGCAAAATGAAAGAAAAAAAGGCAATATTCTTGAAAACGTTGTTAACTGAATGAATATGCAAACAGGTAAAGATTATACAGGTAAAGGTAGGTGTTGATAATGGACACACAGACACAACAAATGAATAAATAAAAAGGCCTATATGTAAATAAAAATGAAAATGGATTTTGAAAATTAAATTAAAAATTCGGTGAAATAAATAAAAATTAAAAGTTAACATCTGTGGCGCCACAGTGACGAACTCATGTTGAGCAATATGTGCACAATTTCTACTTGTCAAATATTATCATCTATTTTATCCTATAATGCACTGCAAAATAAAGATAAATGAACAGTGATGAATTAAAGATTGCAAATATTTCAAGGATAAATCCCAGAATACCCTTTAAATATGTGTCTACATGGATCCATGGCCGTGTTGTAGCCTATATATAAAGCTTTATCAAAAAAGAAAAAAAAAAAACGTGTATGCGAGGGACTTTGCACTTTGTAGGCCCTAACCATGTTTTGCATTGACACTCGATGCCTTGTGTTGTGCCCGTTCAATCCTATGTTCTTTATTACTGCATATTCATATACCTGCACAAGTAGCAGTAGCCCCCAGTAAGAAGGGCAAAAACTTTGAATGGCACTGTCCTTTCTTGACAGGAAAACATGGTTTGTTATTGTTACTCGGAATAGCTGTCTGGTGTGTTATTTATAGAAACTGCATCGTAGCAGGCACGCTAGGAATAACTAATTTGAAAAATGAAACACTTCAGTTTGGAATATTATGTTTAAATAATGAGAAAATATTTGGTTCATAATATGGTCTACCATGGTTAACCGATGTTTTTGTAAGATTCACGCCGTTCAGCTAAATGATCATCAGCTGATCAATTAGCGAATATGTGATTTTTGACCGAACAACTCACCTGAGCCGCCATCTTGTATTTCTTCACTACATATAGACAGAGAACAGTACGAGGAGGTGTCCTCACTACGGTGGGACATATACTAAAATTGGAACGATACAGAGAAGATTAGCATGGCCCCTGGCGCAAGGATGACACGCACATTCGTGAAGCGTTCCATATTTTTATCTAAAGGTTAACAGAAATGATAAGTGTATCAAATATTTACCTACCAATAAAAGTTTATAACCCAAAAACCTTATAAAATATCTTCAAAAAGTTTTTTTTTAATTTTTATTTTACTTTAATCTTTATTATTATTATTATTATTATTATTATTATTATCATTATTATTAATTTATTTCTTTCGCAAACACGTTCCATTGAGACGCAAGGCAGTCCCTTAATGTTTTTTCGTGCCATCCTTGACAATACTGTCACCTGGGTCTATACCACAAGCCGGATTAGGCACAGAAATGATGTAAGGTTCGATTTTATATTCACAGATCGAGAAGAAGTAAACAACAAGAGTCGTAGATTTCCAAACAGCTTTATTCCCACTGCCTAAATTAGTTCTTAGGTCCTAAGTTATAAGTGCTCACTCCACCCACCACCAGTCCAATTTATATTCAGCTCTACCTTACGTGTCTTATTGAAATATTATATCTATAAACTTAACATATAATCAAGTCTCACTAGAGAGGTGTCACAAGAGGCGCGCGACATCTTATGGGGCGTGGCACATGCTAAGGGGCGCCTCCGCGTCCCTTACAATGATACGCGGAAAAAGGGCTACAAATTTTGGCATATAGAGAGATTTTGATGTCAGCATTTCGTGGCTGCTACTCCTCTTCATATGCACCGATTGACCTCAATCTCACATGAAAGGAAACCCCAAAGTGTAAGTATTCACCATTTGTTAAGAAATTATACATATTAAGTATAAATGTCCCAAATTTCTCCTAATTAGGATAAGCTTAGTTTAAACTAGGGCTAGAAATATGACATTAAGTTTTCAACATACTTAATGCAAAAATCCAAAGATTCCACGGTTCGTTTTCTCAGACAAGAGGACCATACTGTCCATCAAAGTGCGTTGTGAAAAAGTGAAAACTGATGTTAAAGGTATCTTCGCGAATTCTTCTTTTCTAAGTCCCTGATGACAAGAAGTTTTCTAAATCTTAAGCGACAAAAAGTGATAAATCGAACTTTTTATGTAAATTATGGGAAAACGCACGCCTGGCAAATATGGAGAAAATGTATGTATTTAGTAAAGAAGGTGTCAGCTGCATATGTTTCTTCAACCAATTTTTTTTTAAATAACGACCTTTTTGGATAATATTTGCAAGTTTTTAATAATAACAAAAATTAGAATGCAATCGAGGGTCATTACGAGATGCACGTTTTACTGACACATTTTGTCCTCGACCTCAAGTGTATTTTTACACAATGCCAGGTAATGAAGGTTTTATAAATTACTTTCTAAGAGAATCGAGCTTTGTCGTATTTCCTGTAAAACATAGAACTGTGCTCTGCCACCTTAACGTTTACCTAATTGTGGATTTAACTCAATTGAAGATTTTAATAATGGCTAAAACATTACATAAACATCAATCAACTAAAAGTTATGGCCGGTGCAACAAAAACAAATATAAAAAATAAATTTTTCAGTGAAGAGGAATTGTATTTAAACAGATAACCTTTCTGAAATAATACCTAAACTAAGCATTTCATGCAGTTCAACATTTTACTTAAAAGCCGAAGTGCCTTTCAACAAAAAGCGGCAGAACCAGGACATTTCTATATCATTTAAGGTAAAACTCAATGTCAAATATCATTCCATTTACAGATACGAGTTTAAAAAAATAACAAAGGTTATTGGAGGCCTAAAAATAACAACTTCGCTCTAGGCAAAAATATTATGAAGTCAACAATTTCAAATATGTGTTCTGGAGTTTCAACAAAGCAATCCTCGTGCACTTGCATTTGCCATATCTTCAAAGCCCAGTTTCTGTGGTGATATTTGCGCTGCCATGGTAACAACATCGCCCCTGGAGCTCACGTATCCATGGCAACAATAAAAGAATTCCACCGGCAACGAATAAAAGAGATCCGGTGATATAAAAGGTGACATCATAGGAGCCGAATAAATCATACAAACTACCTGAAATAAAAATGTCATTAATTATTTTAGATACATTTCTTCTAAAACAAATGTATTTAAATGCCTGGCGTGACAAAATCAGGTATGATGTAGAAAATAAAATTGGATAGATTTTCAACATACATAATGACTGTATTTATCTTCTTTATTGTTATTATTATTACCCCCGACAAGGAAGTTACACAGTGTATGTTTTTGGTGCTGTTACTGTAGTGTGTTTGTTTGTTTGCTTGTTTGACTGTATTCAGCCTCGTGCAAAATAAGTCACGAACGGATTTTGATAACGTTTTCACGATAGGCCACAAATTGACCAAGGAGTACGTCTTTAGTCTGTTTTGTAATTTAAATATATATTTAGATATATATCTTTCTCGAAAGTGTTTCTAAGCACATGCATTGTCAATTGTCTGTAATTTCTTACAGGTGAAGTCCTTGGAGGTTTGTGCTCTCCGAGTGTGTGTGTGTGTGTGTGTTTTTTTTTTCTTTTTCTTTCTTTTTTTTTTTTTTGTTATCATTATAATTAATTTATTATTTTGTCAAACAATATATATATATATATTTATTATTTTGTCAAACAATATATATATATATACTTAACCATTTCTACTATGAACATATGCCTTGCAAAGCAAAAAAGGATAAGTCAATTCTCTCTATCCTATTTCGCTACATACCTCCAGCAGATAACAAGAGGGAACCCAAACCTTTGGCTAGCATGGTAAGTCCAAATGCAGGTCCAAGTTTCTCGATGCCGACTAGATCTCTCAGAACAACAGCAGTCAGGGAGATAATGGTGCCTGTAAGAAGAACAGATTTTTTTACTTGTGTGGTGTGTAGGAGGTTTATGTTGATACATTTTATCAAGAAAAAAATGTACTTTTATTGTGCGTTTGTCCGCTTACTACTAGCGTTGATCGGAGTGTTTACAAATTGCAGATTGTCTTTTCTTTGTCAAACATACCATCAAGCGAAGAAGATGATATTATGCTGGGAAGATATGATAAAATAAAATATGACTGAGATGTAGAGAGAGAGAAAGACTGTGTATCCGGTATGTTAGACACCAATGAGTTATGCAAATGAAAGCAGAATATTATAGATGGATTTCCTGGTTTTATTTTTGCTGTTACATTTTTTAATGTACACCAATATACAAACGCAACGTCGCCCTATAGTTATATAGAAATTCAAATGCAATAAGAAATACCTCGTGTGTCCATGTATACATGTACTTGCATGTAGTAGTGATTTGTGTGAAAAATACAACTTCTATACTTTTGTTAGTTGTCTATAACCATGCTTTTACACAATATAAGTAAGAATGAATAAAAAATATCATCTTAAATCCACTCACCAAATGATAACCCGTAAAACGTGCACACTGTTGCAATCACGCCGTACTCCTTCATAAACGGCAGTATGGCAACCATAACCCCTGCAATCATAACACTGGTCCCAAGCATATATCGCCTGTTAGCGCACCGAAAGTCTGCAATTACACCCATCACGACTCGACTCACCGTGCTAGTAATGCCTACGATGGAGACCAAGAACGCCGCGTTATTTACTTCTATCCCCATACCTACAGCTATATCTGGTATATACGTGCGTAACACTACGAACCCTATCTGGATGATTAAATGACACAATAGCCACACGACAACATCAGCTCTTCGTAGTAGGGAGATATGGAACATGTTTTTGGAACACTTTCTCGTTTTGTCAGTGAAGGATAAGGTTGGCTCTTTCTCAATCCCCTCGTTGAATTTTAATTCCGGCGGAAAAAGCAAAATGCTGAAGCCAACTCCTGAAAGAGACGCCCCTGCCAGAACAAGAAGAGCGTATCTCCAAGAAATGGTTTTAATCAGAATTTCTATACAGGGTGCCATAGCAAATATCCCAACGCCTGATCCGCACACTGCAACTCCCATGGCTAAACTTTTCCTCTTGTTAAAATGATCCTGAACGGAGACAATGCCTGGAAACCACATCAGTGCCAATCCGAGACCAGACATGACCCCGTATGTTAGAATAAGGAACGGCAAATTCGATGCTAATGAACTCACGCCAAACCCCGTCGCAGCGAGAACAGATCCAATGACTCCAACAGCCCGGTGTCCAATTTTGTCAGATAGGGCGCTTGCTATTGGACCTTAAATGTTTATTCGAAATATCTTATCCCCTTTGATTTGTTTAATAAAATGTCATATATTATGGTTTGAACTAACTCTATAATTAGAGAGCGCACTTATTCAAAGTATTCATTTTATATCAACATGAATCATCGACAATGTACAACTTTAGTGATTTTGAGATCAAATCTGTAAATTTGAATGGTTTCAGCGCATGCGTAAAATATACCGTACCCATACCCCAGGTCACAGCTACTTGAATGGAGCCAACCCAAGACGTCGCTGACTTGCTTTCTTCAAACTCATTTAGCAGGGTGATGTAAAACACACCGAAAGAATTCAAAATCCCGCCCACAATAAAGTGAATAAAGAAGGACGCCAAGACTACCAGCCAATCGATGCAGCGGTCGGTTTGAACTCTGGGACTCCTTTCAATCGACGCTCGCTTTGAGTCTGGAAAGCTCCACGAAGGCGACTCTAATGTCAGCTTGCTTTGTTTACCTGTACAAAAGCACAAAGTATTTTTCGCCAAGTGACCAAGTGATTTGATTTCAAAGGAGGAAAGTTTAACGACTGAAGTCCTATTTAAAACACCCTAAAGTTGAGAGAAATACAACCGCGTGAGCACTAAGAACACTTTTTTTGCAAGAACAAGTCAAACTTAAATACTTAAAGCAGAAAACGTCTACCCAGACATTCAGTCAGACATTCAGTATAGGACCAATAGCGTTGTGACGACAAGAACTGAGGGCGAATACTTCAGAAGCAAGTGCGTGATTCATTGAGTGAAACGCTTCTCAAACTGCACCAAAGTAATGTAACAGAAAAACCTATAAACTAGTCAAATAAATTACCTGAATAGCCATTTTCTTCTCCTGCGCCTCTCTCGCTTAATTCCTCAATATGTTTAGAACTAATTTCATTTTCATCACCATCAGAGTTGTCATCATGGGAGTGGCCGCCTACTGTATCGTTCTCAAATCCGTCATTGGTATACCAGTCTTGTTCTGCAGTTTTTAGTGCAGGGGTATTCGGCGATGAGTCGACCATCTTAGCAGCTTCCAAAAATGAAGCAAAGTTGTTTACAGAATATAGAAAAAAACATCAAAAACATAAAAATGTCAAAACATGAATGGAATTCTACTTAAAAAACAGAGAACAGGCGCATATATTTAAAAGGAAGTTTTCTTTGCCTTTAATCCCACTATATTTTAATGCATTGATAACGACAATGACGCTACTTCTTAAAGCACATTTTAGAAACATTAGGCAACATTATTTAGCCAAGCACCTACGTGTCGTTATGTTAGGCGGTTTTTTTAATTACTTGTTTCTCAAACAAGTTTTATTTTTGTCAGAGGTCAGAGGGGGGGGATAAAAAATATTTTTCAAAATAATGACTTTTTGGTCACTCATTTTCAAAACTTCATTAGACAATGGTAAATACTGGTTTTAACACAGAATTTTTGGATACAAACAGCAATTCCTTTTCAGTGTTTTATTTGTCTGAATCATTGTTGAAAATTACAAAACAAAAAACACAGTTTGCCTTTCTATGCATTCATGATGGCAGTGCACAAAACAGTTTTTTGTCGATCATGATGCAATTTTATGTATGCTTTAATGATTAAGTGGAAAATCATCACCAAATTTAAATCATCTACTTCATGTAATATGGCCATCCAGAAACAATATGGCTTTGTGCCCATGTGAGTTCCAAGTCCCACACTGAAAACACCGATACATGTATGTGAAAAATGACCATTTCACAAAAACAGCTTTACTTCCATAAAAAGAATCCAAACAGGCTATATTTCAGACCTTTGAATCTTTCAATAAATTTGAGAACCATCTTGTAAAAAGGCCTTCCTTAAATGGTCACTATAGCAGCTGCACTAAGCTAGCCAGTCTCTCCCTGCATATGGGCTTCTATACCATAGCTCCTCTGTCAGTGTCTCTGCTATGCGTTTTCCAAGATTTTTGGCTTGTCCAGCCCGAAAAACAACATAAAGGTCTTCCACTACTTGCGAGACGGAATTTTACATTGTCTGTCTTGCATTACTTGGGGATTCACTGAAAACTGAACAAAATTATTTCAGATAAGTTAACTGAGTTGGATATGTGCCTTCTGTTAGCTGCATAGGAATTGTACAATTCAAAAGACAGCAAACAATTGCTTAGCCAGATTGTTAAAAATACAAAAACCAGCAAGGGTAATATGGCCTGTTATGGAACTGTGGTCTTAATTTTTATTAAATCTAAATGGCAGCAACAACATAACTTATTTAATATAATTGAATAAACCGCCCTGTTATCAGGAAAAAGGTCTGCTCTGGGTCAAAATTGATCTAGGTGCATGAAGGTTTTATGGTAAATGGTCCACTTTTTCAGAAAAAGAACCCTCTTTTGAAATTGCTGGCTACGGGCCTAGTTAACCTTAATATCTATATACGCATTAAAAACTTGGTGGAAAACTTAACTGAACTATGAATTCATGTTGACAGGCTCATTTTCCAAAGCAAATGATAATTAACAGCTATTACCTGCCTTAATTTAATTAAAAAATGGCAAAGACACGTTGCTTCAGTATAGAAACATCTGCTGTTGTGAGCGAGCAATTAGCATTTAACATACGTTTTTGTGAAAGTGCAAAAACGGACATTTATTTACCAACATAACAATGCCTAAAATATATTCACCTTAAAAAACTATTACACTTTAGACTGATAAAACGAAAAAAAATACTCACATCATTTCTGGAGACTTTCAGAAGTAGGCCTACGCGAGTGCTGCATTAAAAATCCAATGCGCTCTGTATTTGGACGCTCTCGGAGACTTAAGTTGAGCCTGCCTCTTTAGGTGTTCACTGCCAACTGTTATCTGAATGCACTTAATGTCAATATCTACCACCGTAGTGACCGGCATTCTTACATTCAGTTCAGAACCTATTTTTGCTCCCTGTTGAAACCTTCCACACGTGACAAGTGTTGCAGTTGATATTTTCATTTCTGACAAATAGCAGTCAATAAAATTGTCTAAAACGTCTGTAACACTGGCCGGACAGACATTTTTGCATAATATCTTTGATCCTTCCTTCACTATAACACTGAGTCACACAACAGTGGTCAATTTCCTGCTTAAGTAGAGACAGCTACTCGAGTATGCGTCTCCCGCCATGTTGCATTTTAAATTTTACACATGCAGTGTAAAATATCAGCCAAGCATCGATTGGCTTAAAAACCGTTAGCTGGGGGAAATGAATCAATCGTTTACTTTGGCTTAAATGCCCTTCGTTTTGAACTTGTTGGCAGTCATGTGACGCGGGAGTCCCGTGAAACTTGTGAGGTTTCGTGTTTCCGATATAATTCCCTGTTCTGATCGAACAGTACGATCAGTCGGACGTCGGGGAAAAAATACAAATAGTTTTGGTTTCAATTTTTATTTACTTTGGCCATTTTGAGGTCGGCGGAGCTTGAGAAACAAGTTATTTTACAAATTCAGTCAAGCTTGGGCTGGAAATAGGACATTACCTTTTCAACTGACTTAGCACAAAATGCAATCCAAATATTGAACAGTTCGTACCAGACCTACGCAAGGTCTAACTACGGTGGAACGTATACTAAAGTTGGAACGATACAGAGAAGATTAGCATGGCGCAAGGATGACACGCACATTTGTGAAGCGTTCCATATTTTTCAAATTAAGGTTAACATAGAGCGATATGTGTATCTTATACTTAGCTACCAGTATAATTATATAACCCGGGAAATCTTTTAAATATATCTGCATATTTTTTTTCTTTTATTATTTCCTAGTCGTGTAGAAGGAGATCATTTTGTTAAACTAGTCAAAAATACAATAAATGTTGCATGATTTCTTTTTTATTTATCATTAGTTTTTATTGTAATATACGATTATTTACATGTACATTGGGTTTGAAGTCATGTTTCACAACCAATTACTTCCGAGGTCACTTAAAAGCTTTAAAGAACTATATAGAGAGATATATTTAACTAGATTGGAACTTCATTCCCAGAGACTGTTGGACTGACGTGGAATTGAGTTCAGAGCTATACCTTTACACTATGACACTTTACGGTTTCATTGAATATTCAACCGGGTTGACTGGCACCAACATTTTCTAATACCCTTGAGGGGAAAATCGAGAATTTCGATTGGTACTCAATAAAAATTAGGACCAGGTTCTTGTGTTAAACGGTAAACATAAGACTCGATTTGCCCGATTTTGATTCACGCCAGTGCTTTTATGTATATATATACAAGTGTAGCTCAGCATTTTGCAAACACGTTCCCTTGATCGATGAGTTCCTTTAATATTGAAATGGATATATCATATTTAAAGTTTTATTTTATTATATATCAGATTTCTTTAGAATGAGGAATACCAGCCCGCTTGGCGCCAGGTGTCGCTAGTGTGAATTCAGTCCTTCCACAGTCGCCATGTTGGATATTGTATATGTTGGACTGTGGTACTGGCCTTAATAAACATGCCTCAGTATTGTTGTGTACCTGATTGTCAAAGTCGGCAAGGTGGGCATAATTTTCTTGAGGATTCAGGGCTTCGTTTGAAGTGAAGGGTTGCCCATGTCAACACACCTTCCATGTTAAAGGGACAGTTACAACTTGACCCAGGCACAGTAATTAGGCCCCTAAAGATAGACGAGTTGCCTCAAAAAGAACACACGTAAAAAGGTTAATTGATCTTGACAAAACTTATGAAGTTTTGGAAAGAGAGCTCCATAGCAAGAAAGTGCCCCTAGGAAGTATGATTTATCAAAGTGCATTTTCTTATGTCCGTAATTTCAGAAGAGTTGTCAGTAAATATATATAAGTGCCGGTAGCCTACTACCCGCATAAGGATGTGTTATTAAGTAATATCCTTTTTTATTGATGTATTGAGCATGACCGGTAATGTTAATTAAATAATTATTTTTATTTAAAATCATTATTCAGTACCTCTTAAGAATCATAAAACTAGGTATAGTTAGAT